ATTTTCCTCCTCAGAGGTCAGACTTGAAAATATGTGCAGTGAAATTTCAAATATTTACAGGAGTACTTACAGATGTTTGCATTAAAATACATGCCATAATTCAGTTCATACYAACAGCTAGATTATTTCAAAAGTCATATTGTGATTGGAAGGGGGGTAAAGCTGCATGGAAGTGCTTAGGTGTCCTCCATTCCCTCCCTTATACTGTCAAGTAAGCACTTGATTGGCATCTGTTGCAGATTAATGTCAGCTTTTTTGCAGGCTTCTTAGCACTCAGTATTGAGTGTTGTGGCACATGAAACCTTCTCACATTCCTTCTCTCCTGTCCTGCTTGTTTCAATGGAGCATGAGTGGGTGTATGCTCACTACTGTGTACCCCRCAGATGTTCTTATTGAGTTAGACCTTGCCTTGCTGAAGTATTCACTTCAGTGGGACTTGCCTACTGGCTTAGGAAAAGCCAATGGAAGCAAGTACACATCTATTGGGATCCATGGCCTTCCTGTTCGCAAGGAGCGGGTTGTAAGTGGTGCAGTTGGGGCTGCGCTGTGTGACGTGGAATTGTGTGCTGCCCCAGTGCAGCAGGGAGGCTAAAGCTCCTGACAGCCCTTTCCAAGGAAAGGGTTTTGCAAATGAACCATGATGTATGTCCTTTGGAAAATCACTGCATCACTTAGTCTTGCAACAATACTAACACCTCATTCTGTGAGAAATTAAAAAAAAAAAAGTTTTGATTCAAGCTTCAGAAGAGAGACTTACTGTGGATATCTTACAATAGCTTTAAAACAAGTTCTGATTTGCATTTTAAGATAAGTTGATTGCTGCTTATGTTGCAGAATCTATGAACTTTGGCTTTGCTTTGGCCAAGAGTCATGGCATCTAGCTAGTTTCAATGATGAATATGTAAAGCATTCAGCTATATAAATCTGCAGTCTCCAAGGAGCCATCTCCATATGTGACATTAATGAGCTACACCTGCACAGTGTTTGACTTTTACACAGATCCCTGTATCATTACATTTGTCAGCTATCTGAATCTATCTATACACCATAACTAAGATAATGAAGTGCAGTTTTCTCATTAGAAATGCAAAAGTTTCAATGTTTTGGCTTTCAGTCTTTGTAACATCTGCTATACAGCACTAGCTTTGGACAACATCTGAATATCCATGTGAACATTTATGAAAGTAATAATTCAAATCAAGTTTCTTTTCTAGCACTGTCACTGGGGAAAGCAGAAGACACATTTTCACATGTAATGGGAAAACTGGTAAAAAGAGGTGTTGTAGAAGCTTTCTCTGTTTAAATTAAAAGCCATTTATTATCTTTAAGTCAAACACTAAGTCGTATGAATGATTATGTGTCCATGTGAGAAATTCAGATGGGTCATAGAGCAAACTTAAAAACATGAAGAAAAGAATGCAAGGCATGTGGAGCTAGCTGGTATCTGTATCTGTAACTTCACCTGCTTTCTGTTAGGGCGTATCTCTATTCCATGTCTGACTTTAGTCTTCTATCAGGACAGAAATACTCATGTATCAAAGAGATTGCAGCTTAGACCTTGCAGTCCTGAAGACTCACTAAGTGATCCCAAAATTGGGAGACAGAAAACTGATTCTGGACCCTTCTATCATTTAGGCAATGCTTAGTCTTGTGGCAATRTATATCTTAACAAAATAGTCCTGCCTCACTGAAATTGGTAGCATTTGAAAGGTGTTATGTGTTGCTTTAGTTTTTTATGTCTGAAAACTTAGCATATGTTTTGAAGAATCAAGATATGTCAAGTGTTGAGACTTCTGCAGTGAATACTCAGACTGTCAACATGAATTTCTCAGTTCAGGTACCATAAATATCCTATATTTAATTATGGGAAAATTTATTTTTAGTGTTACCACAACAAATTTTAATACACTTATCTTCTCTTTGGGTGGAACAGTTCAAAATATCTGCCTACACTACTATTACATTTGATTTTTGGTTGCTTTTCCTCAATGTCTATTCATTAAAAGATTCCAACAAAGTAAAATTGATATTGCTTGTGAGGGAAAGGTTCTTTTTATTATTTTAAACAATACTTTAGAGTATTCCTACATGGAATTAATTATATTTCTGTAGAAAAAATAGCTAACTTTTAAATAGAAGTATGAAAGTCAATATATACTTAATGCTTTTTGTTTATAAATATGTCCTACTTAGAGAAATTAATAAAGAAACCCCAGCCTCTGTGGACTATCAGGGAATTGATGTGAAACCATCTTTTTTGAGGAATAATTTAGTCTGACACTGGAAAGCAGCATATTCTATTTCTGTATACTTAGATCTGCTTTCTCGCTCTTTATCAGCAATACTTGGTACTATTGTTACTTGCAACAACTTTTTTTTATGTGCCTTTGCTTAGGTTCTATTTTTTYCCCCCACAGATTAGTGGTCTCTATTTCCTATTTCCCTGTGTATATGTGCTGGTGTGCACTTAGAAGTAGGAACTGCTTATTCATCTCCTGGAGACTGGAGAAGTCCCCTCATCAGTGTTCCTGACTCTGTTCTATGCTTTGGACCTCCTGAGTTGCTCAAAACATGTAGGCTGAGCAGAGAAGTAACACAACACAGTAGTGATAGCCTCTTGACATCCTGAAAATATTTTTGCCTTTTAAGCTAAATATTTGGAAGGCATCAGTTAGTAGCTAGGGTATGAAGGAGCTGGGGTATRAGTAAATAAGTGTGAAGAAGTCTAAGTTGGGACTTGAGTATCTTTGCATTCACTTTAGACTCAAGTACTGAGGACTGGCCTCCAGCCATGTGTAATGACTCGAATGCCATTTAGTTATGTTCCCCCTCAGACTGCCTCTAATTTTATAGCCTCCTTCCTGTCTGTACTGACAAACCACTCGGGCATCTGTGGGAGTGGGCAGGAGCCTGCTGAGGTGCAGTATATGGCTCTGGGCCTACTGCCAAGGAGCATCACAGTTACAGCTCTTTCCAGATGATGCTTCAGGTTTCCTGCCTCCGAAGGTAATAACTAGCAGAACAAGCTCCCTGCCCTGTGGCAYGTCCAAGATGCACAGCAAGTGACGGCAGAGCCACGAATACACATTTGCTCTGCTCCAGATTAATATAGTAGCTTCTGCATTTTAAATTTCAGTCTGCAGACTAAGTGGAACTAGTTTTGATATATAAAATCTTTTGAAACTAGTCTGTAGTTTACTTCAGAGAAATTTTTACATCACATTTCATATTATATTGAAGAAAAAGCTACTGATGAAAGGTCCTTGTTCCACTTGTGTTAAAATTGTTTGTCAATAGACAGTCACAAGAGTTCCTATGAAATAGAAGCCAGTGAAATGTCTGTTATAAAACAGATGCCCCAAACAGCATATGAATTCAGTAAAACAGCTTCTAATCAGGCAGCAGAATATGTGGTGCAAGCTAAATCTTCTCCAGCAACAATATTTAGTCTCTGCAATACTTGATTTCCTTAGAATGAGAAAAGAGCTCTCAAGTTGCCCTTCTCAGGGGCCTGGCCAGCCATCTAGTAGTCTTGTATTACACAGAAMATGTCTTGTAGGACATGCCATGGATATAGTCTGTTAATGTCACAGTATGAGATGCAATTTCCCTGCAAATACTGTGATTCTGTAGGGAATTTCAATAGGAAATTGGTAACTACATTCCTAAGGATCTGATCAGCTGTCCAGTTCAGTATTTCCTTTAGATAAGGTACTTGAACTGCATCAGTATGGTATTCATATTTTTCTGGCAGATGAATAATGTCAGTGATGGAGTTAGTATCAATTTGCACTATAGTTGCCCTCATCTGTTGAACTCCAAGCAAATGTAGGTATGTTCTCTTGGTTGTTCTGTAGATCACTGAAAATAGTGGTGTCTTAGATTTCAAATATAACAACTCTTATCAGAGTAGTTGGATCTCTCTCTGATTTCAACTATCCTGTTTTAAATAGTGTTTTTCTGCAGTAATTCGTGGGCAGCATTTTCTCAGTGTGTTGAAAGTGTTACTAATTAAATGTTGGTAAAAGACTCTAAGAACAAATAGAGCATCATCAGCACGACTGTCATTTCCTGTCAGGCTTTTGTACATCTGACCTTCACATAGTCCTCTTTTTGCTCACATCATGCAACATATTCTCTTATGCTTTTATTATACGTGCTCCAATTGGTGTCATAACAAGTTATTGTAACCAGGTATTGCGTATTCAGAAAACTGAAGGGTCTTGTCTCTCTTTTAAATCAGTTCTTATTGCAAGAGACTTTTAAATCTTCTGTTGTATTTCAAAACAAGCAAAAAATATGTAAAATAAAACTCTGAGGTAGGGAATTGTCTTTCTGGCCGCTTTATTGTTCCTCATCTAAGAGCATAACTTAACAATTTACAATGTGAAATACAGTTAAGATCATCTTAAAATACATAGACAAAATAACATCTGATGTCAAAAGGAGTAGGGAACATCATGTGAATGATGCTCTCTTCCAAATATACTTGCTTGTAACTTCTCATAGTCTACCTACCAGTTTTACTGATTTGGAAGAGACAGATAACAAGGCACAGTAATACAAGGCAATCTAAGTAATTTTCATTACTGAGAGTAGATTACTTAGAGAATTTTACATCCTCAAATGTAAATGAAAATTGGAAAGCAAACAGAACACTTGAAAGATGAAAACAATGTTGTTAATTATCTTTACTGRAGCTCTAATAACACCCCAATAGATAAATGCATGCTGTGGATGGTAAATAAACCAAACCTGATGGTCTGTCATTGTACTTTCAGGGGTGACTGTGTAAACAACAATGTTAGCTTAATAAATAATATTCACTTCTGCTGTCCTTTAAGAGTTCTTTTGACAAAAATGTTGTCTGTTTTCTTGTTCTTCTCCAGCTAGCCCAGTAGAGAGAAGCAAATAGAGGCTATATTGTCTGCTATTGTACCTGCAGAATATTTGCTGATAAGTAGCATTGAAAGCACCTTATTTCTCTTTTTATTTGACAGGTAGAACCTGAATGATGAAACTATYATGATATCTCAGCTGAAAGACAGATTGATTCCGAAGGTACCAGGGAAAATTTTCCAGAGGTTTTTGTTCTCTCCTTGAAAGGAAATACTCAAAGTACATGGTAAGTAGCCAAATTGCTAGTATTAACACATAACTTTTAAGCTGGAGTTTGATGGCTCACTGGAGGGAAYGTTGTGACACTTAAGCTCCAACTTTTACCAAACATAGTTTCAGTGCATGTTTATATCTCACTTGTATTTTCCTGTATTTACCCTGTGCCATGTGCTGTAGGTGTCCCTGACTGAGCAGAGGGATTGGGTTAGGTGATCTCTGGAGATCCCTTCTGACCTTAACCATTGTGTGATTGCAGTCMTAAGGCATATCAGTCTACCTTACTGCAGCTGTGCTACCTGTTGCAGAGCTTTTGTGAATTGACTGGAACAGGCTGCTAYGTTTTTTCCCTTCCTCAGGGTGGGTTTATCTGATTCCATTTGTAATCTGATCCYGTTTATAATAAGAGAATTTTTTGCAGTAATTAAGTGTTGATGGCTTAGACATTTATGAAAAGTTCATGTAACTGCGTTTTGGGGGGTAAAAAACCCTGTGCAGCTTGACTCTTCAGTTCTCACCTCTGAAAATACCCCCATTAAAGTAAATGGGGATAGTTCATAAGAATAAGGAACGCTTCAATAAATCAAGGTCCTGTGAATTTGTCACAAAAGTTATAGGGGAGTGTAATGTTGAATCAGAGCTTTTATTTAGGTAACAGTGAAGCTGAAATACATTGAAGAAAGCAAAGCTGGTTTACTTGTATTTCTAGAACACTGTCAGTATGCAACTTTCCTGTAAATTTCTTTCCAAATTCTCAGGCCTGTTCCACTTAAACCGATGCTGATTTACCTAAACTGATGATAGGATGATATGCTGTCTTCCTTTTTCCCTTCTCTATTCTGAGCTGCTACCTAAAATSCTGTTCTTGCTAAAACTCTTTTCTCTTCCTGTCCCCACCCTCTTTGACTTCCTGGATCCCTTCTGCTCAGCAGAGGTCTGTTTTCTGTGAGCCAGAAAGTCTATAAATYTGTCTGGTTTCTACCAGGAAGAAACTCGAGTGTTTTGCTCCGCTGGACACTCTAAATGATGAGATAGTACTTTGACATATGCAATCCTAAAAGGAGTAATTATTTATTCTTCTCTATAATGTGCCCTTAAGGGTTGTTGTTTTACTCAGTTTACAAACAGCAATGAAACAAGAACCTAAGCAAATAGAAGGTTGCTGCTTTTTCATAAGATGCATTATTCAAATATAGTTTATTTTTGTGTGGAAATCTTAATTCCTGTCCTCAGCAGACAGCCAGCAAATTAGTAAGCAGACTGAAATGAATGGTGTAATGAATTTCAAGTTTCTTGGTAATTTTATTTTCTGTGAGKTTTGTAGAATGGCTAAAGATTTATTCTGAGAAGTAATGGGAGTTACATATGCCTGTCCACAAATAGAATTCAAGCCCAGCTTTTAACCATTTGTTTGACCTTCAGAAATTGTGTTACTGGAGTTGATAAAGTTACTCAAGGGAAAMACAACCTTTTGTTAGTGTGATCCCTGTATTCCTTTATCTTCTGTAACATGGCTGTCTATCTTACCTTTTCTGTTAATTAAACTTTATGCTAGTTTAACAGTTTTTATAAATTGCTTGTTAGCGATAGGGAATTTTAGCACCAGAAAATCAGTTAAAAAAAAAAAAGATTATTTTACTACAACTTCGATTACAAGAGTCTGTTCTAAATAAGTTATCATGATAATACTGAAACACCAGATTTCTACCTGTCACAGCCCTCTCCTCAATCTAATCTTCCATAATCTAGCTGTATTACCAGGCCCTTTTTACCATTTGTAATGTTGCTTGCTCTCACATCAGTTRGGCCATGAAATGTATTTCTTATTATTTTTCAGAAAAGATGTAACTTGTTTTAGATCACTAACAGATAATGAATTCAGAATTGATGGCTCCACCTGTTGGTGAAAATTAACACTTAAACCTAGCAATCTTTCTAAGAGCAACTAGAGCATGGCATAAAATAAATTATCCTTTTTTACCTCCTTTTTGTTATTTTTAGGTTRTGGATGAGCAATGTGAATATGCCTTGAAAGCTGCTGACTGAAGGGCAGACAGATTCACCATCTCAGGGTTTGAATAGGTCCCCAAAATTTTGAAATACCAGTCAATGTCTTTTAGTAACTAAAGTTGAAGTGATTTTTTTGTTRAAGATGTGAGTGAGCAAAACTCTTTGCAAACTTAACTGGAAAAAGAACTAGACGTTATAACTGACTTGTCCAGATTATTATTCTTGCTTTTCAAAAGCAGAAAAATGTAGCAAAATATCAATTTCTAGGATTTATGATGCCAGGCTACTTAATCTTTCTGGATTTGAGCAGGTAGTTTGACTACAAAAGTTTATAAAAGGCTAAGTCTTTCTGCAGCCACTCTGGTTTCTTTGAACTGCTTGACAGAGTTTTCCCTCTGAGGCTGAGTTTCTCAGGGATGAAGATCAAGCCTTTTGTTCTCCCACTGCTTGATCTGGCCTCCTGACTCYGCAGCTGGAAGTGCAAAAGTTGTAAAACTTCAACTGCTGTCTGACCCTTGCCTAGCACAGTGACTTTCGAATTCAGAGCAGACTTAGGGGCTGTTTCCCTCACATGAGAGGTATTTGCTCCTCTATTAGAAGGTGCCTGCCTGTGGATTCTGCTTCTCCTTCAGTGCATGCCAAAGAGATGGACTTCTCCAAGAGCCTTGTTCCAAGTCTGTAAAAGACTGGAAAACTAAGGCTGAGGTTTCTGCGCTGCACATGCTCAACAAGGTGTTCAGCCCTGTGAGTTGAAACCCAATTGCTGTGTTGCACAGGAACACACAGAGTTTACATATTCAGTGATCCATTCAGAAAAGGACTGGGAGATAACCAAAGATGAAGTAATTTCAAGGGTTTGGTTTTTTGTAAGCCATGGTTGACCAGAAGTTTTCCCAATAGGTCGGTAACAATGATCCTCCAATGAGAAAGGAATTTGCTGTCCTTAGAATATAAAAWCAGGGCTTTCATTTTCTGCTCAAGTTCTTGGCCTGCAGTAGGTAAGACTGATGAAGCAGCTCTGCAAAATATCTTCAACTTTGTGATTAGATACAGAGCTGCTGCAACAAAATGGGCCTTTGCAGCTAATATGTTTCCTGACGTTGCCATGTGTTAATGAATTTCCATCTGTCTAACAGGCACAYGCAGCAATCCTGCTGTGCCCCTTGCTTTTGGGGCCTCCCCGGAGGGCCACAGCCTGGCCCTGCCTCCAGGCAGCAGTCTGAGCTTTTCATGGCTTTTGCAATTCACTTGCCCAGCACTCAGCTCAGATACAGAACCCTTTTACACAGTTTTCCAGCTGKTTTTATTGAGGCATAGGTAGGTCAAATAACTCGATGCAAGGTYGTATGGAAAAGTTTACTGATGGCTTGGGAAGGTTTAGAAATATACCATGTAATAAGATAGTCCATCTTTTTTTAATATATAAACAACGGTTTAAGTGAGTAGGATTTGTTGCTCTGTTTCCACTCAGTTCTGAAGTACATAGCACTTACCTTGCTCTGAATTGTGGAAGATAGATAATAGAGCAAGAAAGTTTTTTATAGTGGGTGAGCTGTGTAATGGAGTGATAGAGGATGCAGAAGGGACCCGGGCCTGTGGTGCTTATTAGTGTTTCATTGCAAGGCTGAGGAAGGCTTCGACCTAGAGAACAAAGATGCCTGGAAGTGTTTCATGCATGTACCTCCCAAGAGGGAGCACACTGTGTTCAAGATTAGTCCCCTTAATAAACTTTGATAACTTGAAGGGACAAAACTGTTTGAACAGACTGAGATTTAACTGAAGATCTAAAGTAAGTGGAAGTCTTAACTGGTGCTGTTTGAGTTTGCTTGGGATGAATGTTTTGGAATTACAGATTAAGCGATGCCATGACCAGTTGTATTTCTAAGCAATTCTGGGTGTCCTAGAGAATATTTTACTAAGTTTTTGTGTTTTTGGTGTATACTGTTYTTTTCAGAACATTCTACTGTGAAGTTGCTTTAGGGAAAAAGGAGTGACGTAGCAGCTCGTTGCAAAAGGACACCAGTATGTTCTCAGGAAGTTGTTTTTCTGCGTTTCTGAAGAAGATAAAAAATCTTACCGAGTAGCTCTCCTTGTTCAATAAAGGTGACAGCATTTGATTGACTGTCTTTTGTATTAATTTCACTGTTATCACCTACTTTTAACTGAAAGGTTGAATTAATTGGAAGTTAATTCACTCAGGTCAATGTATTTCTTGTTGTAAAAATATTTCCTATGTTATATATTTATATAAATAATCTTATCTGCTCACAGATGGTAATGACTCAAGGGATTTAAGTAAAACTACTCAAAAACAATTGTTTTTTGAGTAAGCATTAACAATGAGAGGGAATTAAAGATTACTTTTCTGCTAACAGTTTCTTGTTATCTCTTGAGACTTTTCCAAGGATGGACATATTTCTTTTTATTCTCCTACATTTCTCTTTAACATACACACATTTTCTTCTGTGCAAGGGGTTGGATTTGCCTCAAGGATTTCCATGTCACTGATAAACCTGTTGTACACCCCTTAGTGTGGGAACAGCGCAGTGCAAACCTCTTGCCCTTTTGTTGTCCTTGCAAGTCCATGATTAGAATCAGCCTTGGTTAATTTAAGTTAACAATTTGAGTACTCTGTAGCAAACTGTTGTGTACCTTCAGCTTTCCTAATCAAGACTTGCTTATTTAGGAACAGTGTACAACACTTTTCTGGTGACACCAGAAAATTCTTTCCTTGTAGCAACATAAGTCAATTATTTATGGATATACCATCTAATACTACATTGAGGTAACAGTCCAAATGAGCATTCAAGACTAGAAAGCTTGGACTCTGTCTGCACTTCACCACATGTGATTTCCAGGTCATAACATGTTCTAATAAAGGGGAAAAAATRCAATAATGTATGTATTGGTAACATGAATAAGCCCAACTTGTTCAGAAAAAACAGTTCCTACTAAGCAAGAAATAGTGCCCATTTATTTACTTTACAGAATCAGTTTTCA